CCTTGGATGTGGCTGTCCTAGTTTGCCCTGTGTGTGTTCTCATGCCGGGAAAGTGAACAAGCCAGGAGGTCTCAGCTCTGTGCTCTCTTCCTCCCTGTCAAACAACCACATTTAATCAGGTTGTACTTAGTGATTTGCTTTTTTGACTTTTTTTTTTTTTGAGGTGTTCGCAGACTGATAGGAATAAGGTGACAATTTGACTTCATGGTCATGGTGTTTATAACCCTTTAATTTGTCAGTAACTATTTTTAATACTTATCTGAACCAGGAAATTAGTTTCATATATATGCTGTAGCATACAGGAGAATATGACCAAGAAACTGTCAAGGTTCACTTTCACTTGTGCACACCAATTGGTGGAAAAACCTTAAATGCTATTCTGGTTCAGAGCCAAAAATGGTTACTTTTCTGCAAAAGTGTGAGAATTGAAAAGTTCTGGCTGTGGCCCTCACATACTCTTTGGAAAGTTTTTTTTTTTTTTTTACTAACCACGTTCAGCTGTTTCTTAGTCCCAACTCTTTGTTCTTCTACAGCAGTAAGGGTGCATGTGATGGTGTAACAGTGATGTGTTAGGAAACGGATCTTTAGTCTTTAAAAGATGACTCATGGAAGGGAGCTCTTCAGTGGCATAGGCTAGTCTGGATGGTGCTTGCGGTACACCCTAGGTTTGGAGTGTTGGGGACTTGTTAGGAATATATCCTGATGCCCGACTGCTACAATGGATGCTTTGAACAATTGCAGGTACTTCTCCGAAGGCCGGGCTATTGCTGGCACTCCAAGGCTGGAAGCCTCCAACCCAGAGAATGTAAAAAAATGTTTGGCCTTCACAGCTGTGACTCAACCAAGCTAGTGTTTGTCTGTTTGCCATGCAGGGCCCGTTTCCTTTGCCACTGCACAGATTTCCCCCAGTTAGAGAGGTGTGAAAGCTGATTTGAAAAATACTGAACGCACCCAGAGCAATTACAGTGGGAGAACCTCTGCGTGGTTTGGAGCTGCCTGCTCGTGTGCCATGTTGGACAGCAGGAAGAGTACCAGGCTCAGTATTGTGTGGCACAGAGGTGGCTTGGGTTGTGAGCTCCGGTCACGTTGTGTACCGTTTGCAACACACCAAAGCCCTTTTCCTTCCCGATAATACCACTGACTTTGTCCCTGAAGCATCCAGGGAAGCAGACAGTAACAACAGCAGTGTGACGGTGGTTTGGTTTGTATTCCTTCGCTAACTTGCAGAGAAGCTCGTGAATGGAGGTGCCAGGCAGCTGAAGGAGCTCTGCATTCAGGCAGCCTTTTCCTTTTGAACACTTGGGGCAGGGAATGATGGACTTCAGCTTACCTTGGAAATAGCAGCCATCGCTTTTGGACCCTTTCTGTCAGTGTCTGTAAGTCTTCCAAGCTGGTATTAAACGTGCAGGTGGATAGAAAAGCTTAAAGTAAGTTGATGAGAGAAAATACTAGGGCAGACCTACAGGCAGTGTATGGAGATGGAAACGAGGTTGAGTTAGAACAGAGAGATTGAAAGAAAGAGCTTGTTTACGAATAGAGATCTTACCTAGAATTAAAGTCTTGTCTTGAGAAATTTGGTAGTATAGGTGACATTCTCAAGAAATAAGCCTCCAAACTCAAGTTCCAGCTCAATTCTAGTGCTGGGTTGTATGGGTTATTTTTCATCCACAGCCTGTTTCCATAGGAATTAAGTCATATTAAACATCTTGCCAGGTAAAATTGCACCACAAGACCTCTTATCTAGAGGGAGCGTAACTGGATTTCTCAAGAAAGCAGTAAACTGTAAGTCAGCTGTAATCTTGGAAGATAGGGAGGGAGGAAGAAAGAGCAAAACTTCTGCTCTCTGTGGCAGTTAAAATCCTGAGTACGTCTAAAAATACTGTCGTGCACAGGTTTTCTTTTTCAAACTTGTCTATGGATGACTTTGTTCAGATCTTGATTAGACTAGGCTGCATCGTTGAGTGTGGCTTTACATTTTGCTTATCTCAGGGTCTTCTGAAGGTGGATCCGTGAGGTTGGACAACTGCAGTCCAAACGCTTGAGGAATCAAAGGGAAAGTTTGAGAAGTCAGTAAAAGTCCTAGGGTATCTTAAACCTGGCAGCTCACTGTTTTGGGGAGAGGAATTGATGACCTGGATTGGCAGACTGCAACCAGGTATCCCATTGCAACGTGCTCAGGCAGAGGTTACCAGAGAGAAGTACAGAGATGGTCAAAGAAACATTGGCTTCTTGACTGTGGGTCCAGCTTCTGTATCACATGATTGGAGTAGGCTTCTTTTCCTCTCACCTTCCCCTTTTTCTGCTCCTGCTGTTATCTTTTTGTTCTGTTCATTGGAATGTCTTCTGTTTTCCATCTTAAACATAACAAATCTGGAAACAACAGGAATTATATGTGAGTGTGTGCATGTGTGTGTGTGTTTATGCATTTCAAAGGCCAGGGAGAAAAGGTTTTTGAAAATAACTCCCTCCATGTTCTGTTGGTCTGGGTTGGTTGTTTATTTTGTTTTGTGGTGTGGTTTTTTTTTTTTCCCACTCTTGATTATTTAAGCTTAATGAATATATAAAGTAAACTTGATGAAATCACATCTAAAAGTCATGAGAGGATCAAAGCTTACTTGTAGTTTCTGGTAAGCTTGGTCTTACTAAGTTTCTGTTTCTGATAAGTAGACTTCAGCTGGCCAGGAGCATTACATTGAAGTCCGTATTATAATTTATTGTGGTTGAGGAGAAAAGGGTAAGTTTCTAAATGGAGTTTAACACCTTCTAGTGTTCTTTTTAGAAATTATCAAGAGTATCAGCTCTCTAAAATGAATTAAATTCAGCAATGTCCAGTGTTGAGACTGATGTGTTAATTTAACTGTGACTTGGTATTTATAGGGTACTTGTATTGCTGGGGTTTTAGTTCAGTTTCTTTAATAATTTCCTTTGATCTTAACTGTCAAGTTAAAAAAAGAAAGATATATTGTGGAATTTAGATTCTTTTGAAAAGAAAGTTGGATTTTGGAAAAGATACTAGCATCACTGACTGTGAAAGTTGCTGCTTCCTCTGCATCCAAGTCCCTGGGTTTCATATTTGCACCAGGTGAAGTTGCTAGCTCCTTGGCTTGTACCCCATTAAAATACTAATGAAAGATCTGTTTTGACAATGGGGTGTTATTTTTTAATTCAGATTGAGTCAATTTTGATCACTCCCCCAAACTTATTTTTGGTGACTCGCCTGCTATAACTTTCTTGCCATTTGCCAAATGTGTTTCTAGAATAGCATCACACCTCTTTGTTTGTTCAATGTTTGATGGAAGTACGAAATGGTTATCGCTTTCGGGAGCACCTGGGATTCTCCCATTTGTTCCTGATTCTATATTGGGAAAATGGTGCTGTTGTAGTTGCAGAAACCTCTGTCCCTACCTAGTGCTGGCCTATGTCCAGCTTCCCCTAGGCTGATCCCTCCCCACCCCTGCCCGGATCTGAACTTCCAGGTAGGCGTCCAAAGTCCTCGCATTTGTGTTGCTCAGTTTCTGGACATCCTGATTGCGCTCACTGGTCACATGCAGGCTGTTTTTAGCAGGGGTGCAGCACGGCTCCCGTATCTTCCGTTTGCTTGATCGATGGCTTTTATCTTTGTTTTGATCTTTTATGAATAGTATGTGCCCTTTAGTGGTTGTACCCTACTCAGGACTGCTGTTCTGCATTGTTTATGCTTTTGTAGTAATTGCAGCTTTGCGTCTTGCACCAGGAGTTCAAGTTTGTTCCGTAGGCAGATAAAGAACAACCCTGCTGCTAGCTGTGTTGTATGCCTGGCTATCTTTTTTACTAATATGGGCACTAATTTTTTCTTTGCTGTCCATTCTTAATCTGTTGATTACTTTTTCCTGTTTGCTGTGTCTTCTTGTGTACTAAACCAGGGTGTGACAATTAAATGGCTCTTTCCAGATTCCCCTTGTTTCTCATTGGCATAAGAAAGAAGAGGAGCTTTGCAGTGTTGATCTTGGCTAGTTCACAAATCTGTGTGGTTTTTTTATCATTTTCACTAATAAGTTTCTGGTGTTTTATTATGTGGCAAATGACAGTAAGGAGTTATTTTTTCCCCCTAGTTTTGCTGCTTTTGAATTGCAGCTTTCTTCTAAACATAGATTTTCGTATTGTTTGATTTCCACCTCAGTAAATAATCTCAGAACAACCTTTTGTAACTCTTTAACAACCAAGAAAAGATAATTTTATCCTACTGTTACTACATTGAAGGGATAATCAAGCTAATTATGATGGATTTCTTTCTCTTTATAATTTCAGATGTTCTCACTGACTTTCAGTGCTTTCTGTTGAACTGAATAAGTGTCCAGAAGAACTTGAGTACAGTCCTAGCCCTAAAACTAGGTAGTGTCTGCTTCCTTTCCTCCCTCTAAAGAATCTTTTTGGAGGAGAATTGGTGACTTGAGAAGGCTTCTTTTTAGCCAGTTGTGGGGTTTTTTATACCTTTGACTTTCTGTCCTCTCTTGAGCTCCCTCTGGCCAGCTAATGCAATGGAAAATTGAGCAGTGGCGCAGAGTCCTTTCACATGGCCACAGTTTTGTCCTTCCGTTTAGGATTGGGTGGGTGGCTCCTTGTTTTTTAGGAGACATCAGCATTACAAAGGCTTTATTTCAAGCCCTTGCCATGTTTCTGGTCTGCCTCCAAGCTGTTCTTTGCAGCTTCATGGCTGAGGAGCTCATGTCTGTTTGGCCTGCGGTAGAACAGAAGTTACTTTTCTGTCAGAGTATTCCCCATTTTTTTTCTGTTTGCCTTTTTTTAATACACTTGCTGGTTGCCATGTGAGTTCTGTATGACTGATTAAAAACTGTGCTACAGTTTTTACTCATGTTGGTGGTACATAACTTTCCCTCAAAAAGCGGTTGTTGGGGCTGTGTTGCAGTACTTGCTGGTTATTACTGTGCATTTGTGGCTTTGATCCTGGGCAGTAATTGACAGTGCACCCCCATCCGTTTCCATTTGCACAGCCTGTCGAGATGCGAAGAAGGCTGTGCATTAAACAGCTTTCTGCTCACTTGGATGATGATTATGCTAAGCTGAAAGACCGGTGAGGAGAAGGGGAGAAGCCAGAGGTATGGAGGAAGTGCTTAGGGCATGGTGTTCAGCTGTGGTTTGCCTGGCACCTGAGGCTATGTATAACTTCATGGGAATAGCAGAGTTTTAAATAAACTGAACTGGACTCTTTGTGGAAAGGTGCGTGGTGATCTCGATGCACGTAGTTTGTGCAGCATCGGCAGCAGCTGCACAAGATCTCCCTGGCGGTGCGGCCGCCTGGTAAAAGTGGCTGCGGTGATCCTCATCCGTGGAGAAAGCCAACGATACACAGCAAGTGTGTTTTGTAATGCACCTCTGCTGTGATTGTTTTTCCCAGCAGATACAGGGTTGACATGCTAATTAACATGTTTCTTCTGGGCAGCTGTAAGTTTAAAAAAAAATGTGGGGGTAGAGGGGTGGGGAATTTTGATCTGTAGACAACAGTCCTTCAGTTCCTTCCTCCAGGAGCAGTTTTCCAAGGAAAAACCCTTGGACAGCCTGCAGTGACCTCCCTCCTCCTCCTTCCACAGCTTGATCGGGTCCGTAGGCTGTGCCTTTCTGAGAACAAGATAACTACTTGTGGCCGAATGCTAGTGAACCAAGTTCACTAACGAAGTTCACCAAGTTCACTAAGGGTGAAGCCAGTTGAAAGGACTCTGGCTTGACTATGCACACAGGAGGGGGAATCAGAGCTAGAATTACATACCAAGGCTTCTGCGCTCTTGCTAGCGCTTCTTGCTCTCTGACATGGATATCCTGGCACCAGCTTCCTCTTTCTCCTTTTCTCTCCCTTGCCTTTGCTTCCCCACATCTGTGGTACTGGAATTAGTGCTGGCTGTTCAGGAAAAAATGTTGTGGCTCCTGGGTTGGGAGCCAGGCAATACCATTTCCTATGTCCTCAACTGGTCTGGCTCTGAGGCAAACCAAGGAACCTGTGTCTGTGGATATGACGGTTAGCAAAGCCTAGCCTATATATAGTTTGGTTGATGGCTTTAGGCAAGCTATGATAAACCATGATCTTTTTTGGAGAGGAAGAATGAGAGGGATTACAGTGACAAGCTTTCAAAACCAACAATTAGTTTATGTTTTCAAAGTATGTCCACAAGTGGAGAGGTTGCAAAAAACACGTAATATTCTACAGTCCCTAATGTAGAAATCTGTGGCTTTCTTTTCTTGTTCGTTTTGTTTTGTTTTGTTTTTAAATACATGGGACTTGATCTTAGGCTTCATTGTGTTTAGAAACTGCACATCATGTTGGACATGCAGCCACTCAGGGAATGTGCTGATCTGTTGGCATGTGTAAAAGAGACAATAAGCATATGTATCATTTGAGGGTATGAGGGATGTAGAGCAGTAAGGTTATCCAATAACATTTAACTTAAATCTGCACGGTTGTCAAGAAGGTTACGTCAGATGGCTCCACCACTGGACATACAGCTGTTTGTCTAAAGGTCTCAATCAATTAAGATATGGTTTGACCAGAGCTCTGTCTATGGCTCAGCATTTTTTATGTAAGTGGAAGACGAGTAGCAACAGTAAACTGAACAGTATTCTTACTCATTGACCTGACAGATTTCTCCTGCGATAGTTGAGCACCGTTGGGGGTTTCTGCAACCTAACCACACACAGCAGGCACAGTGGGAGAAGGCTTGAATGGCAGAACCTACTGTTCTCCAAGACTGTATTTTCAAGCCTAGGGTTGGAAGCACTACAGGTGTGCTGCGGTGCACAAAATATTACAGCTGTTAGGTTAGCTGCCCCTTCTCTCCTAAAACTGTTCATTTCCCTTACTGATGAGGGTAAGTAAAAACCTAATGGTCAGCATCAGATTCTTGTTTAAAAGGCAAAGCCTTCTGCATAGTAGTGCGTACCTTGGTGCCCGTCTCACAAACTCAGTTGTTCCTGTTCTTCTTTCTTGAAGCTGAATTGAGCGATGGAAATCACTAGCAGCTTTGTTACCCTGTTTTTTGGCTTGTCTGTGTAAAACTGCTGCTTCACAACAAATGAGGGTGTCTCACCAGTAGCTCCTGATTTAGATGTGTTTGAGTGCTGAGATCCTGCGTTGATGGAAGCAGCATAAAACCCATCTAGAGTTTGGGCCAGGTTCTCTTGCCTTTGTGCCATGTAAGTTGAGCTAAAACAGCTGTAAGGAGCTTGGGTAGAAATTCTTCATGGGGCAAGTCTTAAGAAAAGGGCCTCTGCTTCCCTCTCTCCCCTTGTTTTTTGGCATTTGTGGAGCGTGGAGGACAGGGTTGAGTGAAGCGGAGCTGCTACCTTTGTTACTGATGTTTCTCCAACAGCAGAAGTTTGAAAGAACACTTTCCACTATGGCAAAACAACACGTGGGTGTGATGCAGAATTAAGAGATTTTGTTCTATGCTCTCTCCTAAATGCTGGCATTATTGTGAAGACACTACTTGATGTCCTTACTTGGCTTTTCTTGATTCTATTCCTCACCTTCAGTCCTGTCAGCTCAGCCAACAGATTTCAGTCACCCTTCCCACTCCTTGAGTACTGCTCAAAGTACTGAGGGAGTTACATACCATAGCTGCTGCTTCCCAGTTCTTCTTTGATAGTATTTGCTTGTTCTTCCCCTTGGTTTGTGGAGAGAGAAAGGACTGCATGTGACTGCTTGAAGGTAGTTGTCAGCCATATTAGAGGATGAAAAGTAGTGCAAAATATGAGCATATAGAGAAGATTAAGAATCCAGTCTTGGACAAAAATTCTTATATTGATGAGATACTCTCTAGTATTTGAATCTCATATGCAAACTATTTGAGAGACAAGAGAGAGATTTAAAGGGGGGAATGAAAGTATTAATGTGGTCAGCATCAACAGCTGGTCAACATCATCAGCTGTAGTGTTAACAGGCAAGCGCCTACGTGATTTTTCAGAATTGGTTTTCTGCTGTTTTTCTAGCAAAGGGCTGTACAGTTGTGGTCTGCCTGTCTATCTGTCATTCTCTCCTACTTAAGTTTTGAACACACTGGTTTTGTTCCAGGTAAGCTCAATGAGTTTTGGAAATCTCAGAAATTCAGACGCCTGTAACATTTGTGAGAATGGCTTGCTTTGTGGCAAGAGGCCAGAAAAAGTTGTAAGGAGACCCCATTAGGTCTGCAAACATTTTGGGGAAGGAGGTCCTAAGCATGAAAGGTGTTTACTTGAAAATCTAATGCATGATGATGGAGGCAGCAATCCTAAATCAACTGCAAAACAGTGTTATTCCTCATTTTGAGCTAAACTATTATTTAAATTAATATAGTATAATCCATAAATTCTCTTAATCCCTTCATCCTAACTTTTCACACAGTGACAAGAGATACCTTTGGTATTTGTCTGTTGTGAGAAACAATAGATTTAATACATTGAAGAATTTTGGCAAGGTAGCAATGTTTCTTCATGTGTGAACATACTTGTCTGGTCCCTGTAAATTGTTTTACAATGCAATCTAAACATACATTGGGAAAAAAAAAGAAGTCCAGACATTTTTCTTGACCTTATAACTGTTTAGGCCCTTTGTGTTGGAAATAAATTTCCCAAACAGTTTATGCAGCTGGAGAGAGGGGGATAAAATTCCTGCTTGATAGTGAGGAGCAGTAGCTGTGATCCCATGATTGACTCTTGACTGCCACGGGGCAGTTAGCCTGTGGAAACAAGAAAACGTTTCAGGCTGTCTGTACTTCAGGTCTTTTAAAGAGCAGTCAGTGCTGCAAAACTTCCTATGTTGAACATCTCTGCTCTGCATTTGGAGACTCTTTCATATCACCTTGTACCCTCAGGAAAATGAAAGAGAAATTTCACATGCCGGAGCATGGGCTGCACTGTGTGTTGTGAGATTCTAATACCACCTTTTCCCACCAATTTCCGTTAAGAGTCCTGCACATTAAACAGCCCTTTTTCTTGGTCAAGGTGTGCATCTCTACCTTAGACTTTGGAAACTAACTTTCAGTCATCTTATACCTAAGTGACTGAAGGCTTACACAAGTTTTCTTCTGGCCGAGAAGGGACAGTGAAATTATTACGGTGGTCTGATTGAACAAAATAAAATCTGAACAAAGCTGAAAATCAGCTCTTTCATTACTTTTCCATTTACAGCTATTGCCGTCTCACTGGACAAGTAGACTTGGGAATGTATCTTGATGCGAAGTGTTGCAAGGAATACAGAAGAAAGCTCTACAGTTTAGTTTGTTTTCAGCTGGACATCCATTTAGTTTCCTTTCTCTGTAGGAGATGTGTTTCTTAAAATACTTCTTCTTGCTGAGAGTGTGTAAGTTTGCAGTTGTTTTCAAAACATTCTAATTTGTACTTTATTAACATTTTCATAGGTATTGTTGAGTGTCATTACCGAAATGATTCAGCACTCTAAAGAGCCCTGATACACAGTGAGCAAGAAAACGTTGCATCTGTTTTACCTACTGTTTTTTGGCTGCCTGTCCCTCAAACTTGTTTTTCTGAAGAGTGAAATCTCTGCGTGTTAGACTAATTACTGCACGTCAGTTTCTTAACTCTTAAAAAGGCTTGGATGTCGACTATGCGAAAGTAATGAGATATGCAGTGACTTGGCCAAGGGTCCAAATATCTGTTACGCACGTGCAGTTGAAATGACAATATAAAATGAATGTGGTGCTGATTGTTGTCCCTGTAGCAAGCCATGGATTAGTGTTCCCCCCACACTATTCACTTTAAATATTGTGGTGAACAATATTAACGAGCATTGATGGTCCAGGGACCTTAAAGCTGTTGCCAATTCATAATTGCTCTTTATATATATTTACTTACACCTGTGTAAGGGTCAGCCAAAGTGACACCAGGTGAGTGAAATCCATTAACTATTGCCTTTTCCATGTTGTTGGGGCCTGGCTTCAAAATTGGTGGAAGCTTTACTGTTGCCATAGTTTGCGGAGCAATTGGTTGGTTGTTCTTAAAAATTTTCTTCCTGAGGAGATCATCTGCTTCTGCTTCCACCGTGCCCTCTCAGGTTACAGAACGAGTTCATCCAGCGCTGAGATGTGCAAGTACAGGTATCACTCCTAATTGCATAATAACAATAACCAGATTTGTGTACATTTCCTGCTTTCTCTTTTTTTTTCTTTTAAAGCCTGAGACCGCAGCTGTGCTGAAGCGCACTGTTGAGGCTCTTATGGAGAGAGGAGCCGTTGTGAGGAACCTGGAAAACCTGGGAGAAAGGTCTCTACCTTACAAAATCTCCAAGCACAAGGAGCGCCACAGAAGAGGAGGGTATGCATGATGTGTTTTTGCTTAAAATCCATTAAGTGCTCCTTTAAAATGTACATAAGTAACTCTCATTGTTTGGTCTTCCTTGTGCTTTTAGGGAGTACACCCGTAATGTCTGTGATCTCAGTAAGGTGGTGTGTGGGTGTTTGTGCATGTGTTCTGTGTCTTTTATTCTGTGTGGTGTTGGCTTTTTGTTAGTTTGTTTAGTTGTTAGAAGTAGCCTGAGTCCAGGCCTGCAGAACTACTTTCCCCAACATACATGACATTATTTTGTTATGTCATTTTTGTGTAACTGTTTTCCAAGCCAGTCAGGCTGTTCATTGATAAAAGTCATACTTAATCTGCTCGTTGCTAATTGGCAGGATTGATTCTTTTTCTCTAATGCATCTGAACTTAATGTTAATTACCATGTGTACTCTGTAAGACTACCTTCTGTCTCCGATACAGTTCTTGTTAAGGATGTTAAAGATGACCGTGTGGCTTATGGGAAGTACAATAGATGTAAATGAAGCTGTGAATTGGCATCTCGCATGTTGGGCTTCCCCCACAGTGCAGGAGGAAGGTGCTGTGGATCGTGCTGCTTGCTCCCTTACGGTGTGGTGTTGCTCAGCGAGGCTACCTCCGAAATGGATGCTGGCTCTTGCAAGGGCTGAGAAATGTTGCCAGGCAACCCGCACTGCGCTGGGGCTGTCTGCGGTAATCAAAATCACAATTAGCGACACGCTCCTCCTGATCCCTGTAATGCAACTGTGCGCAATCGGATGGTTGGCCAACCTGCATACCTACCGTCTTCCTTGAGGGGTGTTTGGCACTGGGGAAGGTGAGGTGATTCCAGAGGTGCACCTCTTGTGAAGTCCTTCTTGGATCATCTCCCCAGGGGTGACTCACAGTTTCACTCCCCCTTCTGAGGACCTCTTCATTCTCCTGCGAAGTGGGAGTGGTGACAGCTGCCAGTTAAAGCAGACTGGCAGAAAGGGTACAAGAGGAACTCTCCACCACATGCCTGTTACTTAACTGAAAGCAATGGCATTGTGGCCATGACTGTCTTGCACTCCTGTTCTGTGGTGTCCTTCAAAACATGACTTGATTTTGCTAGTTTTGCATTTTAGGATGAAGTCTTGTTGCCTACACACAGGCGCTAATCAAAGCCTTGTCTCAAGACTGAATTACTAATTACCTCATCCTTCTGTTGGAGTAGAAGCATTAAAGTCTTTTCTGATGTCTTCAGCAGAACAAGGAGCTGGTGTTACTCTCCTTATACAGGTGGGGAGCTAAGGTGGAGGGACTAAGTTCCGCTAATTTTGGATGCTGAAGTTGAGACTTTCAGCTTCTAGATTTTTTTATTTTTCTAGAGTACTTAGCACTCTCTAACACTTCACCACTTTGGACAACAGTTTCCACTTGGCTTGGGTGGCAGTACTTCTGCAGATCAAGTTTTGGGTTCTTCAACAGGGAAAGCAGGACAGGAGAAGACAGTTAACAAGCATCATAAGAACTAGGCAGCAGAGATGAATAGAAGCCATTTCTCCAGGGGATCTTTCAGATGTGTAAACTAGCTTAACTCATTTACTGTAGCAGATTACCTACTTAATAAGCAGGACAAGGGGATCTTGTAGACTATAACCTTTTTCTTTGCAGTCTCCTCAGAGCAGACATATTTTATGTTCTGAATGAGGCAAGGTTTTAGTAGCAAATAGTAGCAAAAAGCAGTCATGTCTTGAAACATGGGCAGGAAGCCATCAGATTAATGTCACCATTGCTGTTGCTCCTCCACTTCCCGGTTCAAGTATCTCTAAGTATTTAGCAGTCATTCTGCTGGCCCTGGGTTTGGATCCTCTGTATTTGAATGTGACAGTTCCCTCCCCTAAATTGCTTGGCTTCTCGAAAGGGAGAAGTATTGAGAGAAGGTACTACAGGCAATTGTTTTGCGTGCTTTTAATTGGAGAAGTCAAATTTGGGAGACACAAGATCACAAGGGGAAGCAGCAGGCGGTTTCAGCACCTGGTAATGTGGGGGAATTGTATTTCTGTAGATTTTGCTGAGGAGATTGCGGTTCGGTGTATGGGTATGGTGGATTCCTGGTATTCCATTCAATATTTTATATGATCTGGAGAGTAAGTTACTCAGGGTATTAAACATAATCTAGGAGTAGGAAGTGAAAAGTCAGTTCTTGATCCACCTATAAAATCAGTCATTTCTACTTTACAGCATCTGTAAAGTAGTAATTTTTTTTAACAGGACAAAGCAAAAAGCCTTTTTTTTTTTCCTTTTTAAAAGTACCCCCCTAGGCTGAAAATAAACCTATACTCACTGAGAAATCCTAAGGTATTTTCTCCTTCATAGCAAATTTTTAATTCTGCCCGTGTTCCCTTTCTTAGCAAGTTGGTGTAGAGTGGTGTATTTAGTACAGTGTGCCACCTTTTCCTTAGTCTGGGCTTTTTCTGAAGTAACTGAACAAGGGCTTCCGTGAGAGTGCAAATGATACTGTGTGTCTGGTTGGGGGGGTGGGGAAAGAATGTTGAATCTCTCAAAGCTTTTAATTTTGATTTGTTGGGTTTTTTGTTTGCTTTTATTTTTTTTTTAATTTTCTTTTCTTTTACTTTTGTATATCTTAGCAAAGCTTCAGCTAGTTTACTTTCCAGTAGTATGTGGATGGTTGGAGACAGGATGTACGCTGAATCTGTTACTCCCTTGGACCCCCTGGCTCGCAAATTATATGAATTTCATATTATATGAAATACATAGGAATTGTATGAATCGTAGTCACAAATTGTATGAAAATTAGTGCAATACAGCAGTTGTAGCGTGGGTCACAGCTTAATAGCATGTCTCTTAGGGCATGTCTCTTGTTTTCCTGTCACTCAGAATGGCAGGGAATCCCCCCACCTGCGTGAGGTGTTTGCCTGCAAAACAAAACAAGATAAAGCAATCTGCTGCACCAGCACAGTGAGCCTGGCTTTGCTCCCTTGTAAAACTCCCAGTGCTATCCAGGCTGTGTCTCTTAATCTCAAATCAAGGCCCATCAGTAGGGCAGCACCAGCAATTCGCAGGTCACCTGAGACGTTCTCTGTGGCATTCCTAGTAGTCATCCTTATCCCAGACTTTTGCTGTACGTTTTCTTCATTTAGTTAATTCTGGTTTTAACTGCAATTCAAGTCTTTATGTACAGCATATCATAAAACTGAGTGATTGACAGTGAAAGAACACATGAGTACTATGTGCACGGCAAAGCTACTGCTGGACTTACCCAGGTTTTGGTAGTGTCTTTAGTGAACAGTAAAAAATCAAACTGGAAAATACATATTCATAGATCAATAGGGAGGACAGTTGTCTTCTTAATAAAGTGCTTTTTCCCTTGTGAATTCTGTAGTGCTTCAGCCTCATCTGTCTTGGATATACTGCATTACAGGCACATTACAAATTTAAGAATATCCAGGAGACTTTACAGAGAACGAGAATTTTACTGCCAGTCGATCTGTAAAGCTAAGATTTTTCAAATCTGCCTGCCATAGGGGATTGTGGCCCAAAGCTGTCACTGGAATGAGCAGTTTTACTCTTCCAGGCACCTTTGAAGACCTCAGATCATACATATAATTGACTTGTTTCTTCTTGAGAAGTTACATTCACTGAGCAGGTGGTACATGTGCTTTGAGGGTATATTAAAACAAATTTAGGTCTTTCTCTTCAACACGTCTCTTTTGGCAGAAAACACCCTCCTTTTTTTAGAGACCTGGTATTGACAGCTTTTTCATTTAAGTAATTATGAAAATAGTATGTTTCAGGAACTGGGTGGATATGTCTGAGGAATCACACTGTTAAATCACTGGTTTACTGATATTTTAAACTGAGGTAGAGTTAGCTATGGTATTAATTGCTGTAGAAGAACATTAATATTTTGTTTTTAAAGTATTTAAGAGCGTGATTCAACTAACATCTCACAAAACTGTAACAAATACTATTCACCTTATAGATGAGTAACATGTGACAAGGACATGTTTGTTCCAGTGTGGGTTGGGTACGTAAATTTAGTTGAGGCACTGAGCCGGAGTGACTTGCCCGTGGCCAACGTGTCTCTGAAAAAACAGTGGAAGACTGTGAATAAGGATTACCAACTTTATCTCCTAATGGGCAATATATTTGTGCCAAGTGTTTGTTTTACTAGCCACTACTTGTTTATAATTTTTAATGAGTTATATTTAAATTGCTTTTAACACGATGCATTCTTTTTTAATATTGTATTACACGTGTCGGGAGGTGCTTATTTCTGGAATAAACAAAAGTGAACTGATTTAAATAAGGTGTGTACTAGTATTTGAATTCAAGGAATGTTAAACTCTGGATTTGTTTGCTGTTTGAGATTATACAGAAGCATTGAATCCCTCAAAGCAGCTTTCAAATAAAGGGTCCAGACTGGGGCTGGGTGATGGCACTGCAGAGCCATTGCTGCATATTTGGTTAGTGCTATACTGGAGAATATTGCAACTGCTTGTAAAATGATAGATCTCAGTAGCACAGTCTGTGGGTTTGCACTTTGTGGCGTACCTGTTTTCTTTGGCTTTGCCAGGCTATGCCTTAATCATACGCTTGTGACACTTCATGCTTTAGGGCATCAGATAAAGGAGGTGGTTTGGGGGCTGTGGTTGGTATGTAGGATATTTTTACTTTAGGGGAGATGGTAGAAGGGCGGCTGCAAAACAGATCTTTAAAAAAAAAAAAAGATTCAGACAGTCCTTTGGGAAGGTAACGGCTCAAAATTTGCAGACCAGGAATCTATTAAACTGGAAGGAGCTATGGCAGAGGCTTTAGGGAGAAGAAAGTGGCCAGGTGTAACTGGGTTTTGAATACTGGCTATCCTGCTATCCCCTAGAGATTTTTGTATCCACCCCACCCCCCTCCCCCAAAATGTTGCTTCTGTTCTTATTTTTGTTATTTCTGTTGTAAAAAAGATGATATTCCTCAGCCTGGGCAGTGCTCAGACTTGTAAATCGGTAGAGCACTGTGGC